TGTTGGAAAATGTTTATTCTGATTAAGCAAAGTGTAGGCCTCTCAAGACCATATCCAAAACAGGCTCATGCTTGCAACAAGTACCTTTTCACAAAGGTGAATAAACCCCCATTGCTGTTTAACTATGCCCTTTGGAAATCTCATTGTGGTCTTTGGCCCAAGATTCTTCATCATAATACTGATAGTGGATACATTTTTCTGCTTCTACAGAGGTGATATTAACGTAACACTTAACTATCTTAGGTTAAAATAAAAATAAAAAATAAAACTAAACCAAGAATTGGAGTAAGAGGCAATCACTCCTTCCCTGCCATTTTGAAGGATAAGTAAGGTTGTCTAAATGCCTGTTAACTGTGAACACGGTGTGTGTCTTAGTCTCCTTGCTCCATCCCCTTGTTGAGACGGGCTGGGTTATTCCTGCGTGCTCAGTCCCTGCAAGGCACGGACTTCTCCCTCCACCTAGTGGATGCTCCATGAGAGGGCCAGTTCTCCGACTCCTGCAGCAGTTTTTCCTGCTGCTCATCTGCCTGGCTTGTCTGCCTTAGTTAGCACTTAACCCTGGCAACTCTCCCTTTTGAATTTTATACATTGTGACGATGTAATAATACTAATATAACTATTACGCATTTTTGTATAACTGCTGAAAATACCGATGTGACTACTTCTTTCACTTGGGCTCATAACTGTTCTTTTTCTTAAAGGCACAGTTACACAAGTGCTAGCCAGACAATATGTAATTAATTCATTCTTTAAAATCCACTAGCTTTCAGAGCATGAAAACAAGTAACAGCATTTTCTTTAGTGCGTTGGGAACTGACACCAAAACATCAGTGCTTTTTCTGCCAGTGTCTAATAGAATGGAATTTATTAATTCTTGTATTACAATACAGACCTTATCTATCCCTTTCCTGACAGCCCAGGTTCATGGAAGGGATAAATGTAGCCTCTCCCAGACTTGCTTATAGTCCCATGACCCAGGAGTACAAGCTGCTTTAGTTTTACTACTAAATACACTAAATGTAGCAGTTATTGTCATCTTGGGTTTCGGCAGTTTTGCTCAATGAAAAGTTCTATTTTCATGTGTTTTTCAACTTGGAATTCCTGTGCACATAACCTGAGTGTTTACTGTGGAATTGCAACATATGTCACTGCTGGAGGAAAAAGTTAGGTCTACATGTCTTTCCTTGTTTTTGCAGTTGCAAAAAAAAAGGTCAGATTAGAAGCTCTTTCCTTTTAAATAGTCATCTGCACTCTGCCTGGGAGGGATGTTGGTGGAGGAATTGCTATCCAGCTGCCCTGACCTGGATTGTGGAATTTTTACCTCTGCCTTCCTGCTAACTACTACCTTAATTTTGCAACCTTAAATTTCCATTGTCAGCAGCTTCAGAACAACTGAAAAATCAGACCTACAGTCACGTGATAATTATATGTTTAATTTCAGTCCTCAGAAATGCATCCTGTACTGCCCAAAGCATAGTGTCTGTTGTGTTTTTACTGTCTGCAATAATTTCCTAGGGTAGCCCTGCCTTGGCTCATCCATGCACTGACCCATCTTTCTGAAGCATTTGCAGCAAGTCTAAAAATTGCCTTTGGAATATAGTTGTTTTACAGAGCTTATCTGCTTATTTTCTACCAAGCCTTTCATAGTACCTTCCAGCTCTTTTCTGTTACTACCTTTTCTATCTTCTGTTTTTTTCATAAGATATTGTGGCTTGATCTCTTGGATGTTTGAGTGAGATTGAGCATATTTTCACAAATACTGTAGAGAATGAGATTAGAATCACTATGTCCTAATATCTGTTCCATCACCTTCTGAGTGAGCTGTATGCCTTAGAGGGAGGAGCTACCTGCTTGTTGTGTTATGTAAAATAATAAATAATTTATAATGCTAACTGAATATATCTGCCTTGGTGAACAAATGTACATTGAAGTGCTTCACAGGCACATATTGAGACAAAATCAAAAGAATTCCTTGAAGACATGTGAGAATAATTTGCTTTATTTGATTTTTTAAGTGGGAGAACTTTACTGTGAGTCTGTGCTTTATTCAAGGGTATTATTTTCCACTTAAGGATCAGTGTGAGCAGTAACAGAGATCTGCAATATGATTCTGCAAATACTTAGCTTTTTTTATTGAAAGCAGCTTTTCTGACGTACTGCCTTGTTGCTGATACTAGCATCTGCTCCAGTTAAAGGATCACATGAAGCTTTGGATCATGTGGCTCTTTCCTCTTGTCTGTTGTAACAAAAGGATTCATGGATTTTGTGCATTGCCTTAGAAAGCTGAAGGTGTTGCAATTACTATCAAATGCCAATTTTAATGTAGCTTTGAAGCTGTGGTGTATGCATGGACTTTCCAAGAACTGCATCTTTTTACCGAGCATGGCGATTTGCTTTAGTGCTTGATGGTATGAATTGATACGACTTCTACAAGTAATTTTGTTTTGAAGCAGAGACTGTTGATTCCTATCATATGAACTCTACCGGCTTTTCCAGTTTTTATCTTGGGAAATTAAAGTTTATATAAACAGAAGAAACTTTGTCTACATTCCTGTTCTCAATGTAAATGATTATTTCTGCAGTGATTAGTTAACGATGATCTGCTCTGCAAGACATAAATGCAGCAGTGACCTGCTCTCGTTTAGATGTTGCGGTAGTAGAATGGTGGGGCTTTGCATGATTCATGCTTTCTTTGTTTGTGTTCATCTGCCTGCATGCGTCTGCTGTGAACAGGATGGCTTGTCTCTGTGGATCAGTTTGAAATGAGTACTTGTTTTCTGGTTCTTGTGAAAAATAAGTATTGTCTATGTAATTTTATTTTTTTTCCTCTTGACTATTCGAACATAATTGTCTGACACAGTTTTGTGAACGTGGTCTGTAAATGTCCATGCTTTTGATTCATGATGTGTGCTGTTCAGTCTGCTCTTAATGCCTACTGAATTTGCTTGTCAATAACAAATAGTTAATAATGTTGCACCTTTTTATTGGTAGACTTTGCAAGCTGATAGCTGTATCCATATAATCGTGTATGCTGTTACATGTACGATTCTGTAGCATGGATAAGTTATTTAGTGGAAATAATAATCACAAGCATAAATGAGAGAAATAAATATGCTGCTGAAAAGGTACCTTAGAAAAATCAAGCTTACATATTGAAAGAAGGGTTGGGATTTTTTCTTTCACCTTCAGTTTTTATTTGTGAACTAAATTAGCTGAGCATTGGCTATATACATAATATCAGAAGAAAAGGATTTAATTCAGATGTGGAATATAAGGCATCAGATTTTCTACTTGTAAATTTACAAGTATTCTTGGAAGTTCTAATGTAGGACTATATAGGTGTGGCTTTGACTAAATCTCACATGAAGAAATCAGAAATTTCACTTTCTAAGCTTAAAGCAAGGTCTTGAATAGGTGTGTCTTTTTCACTTTAAGGACAAAATCAGAAAACACTTCCTATCCTTAGTTAAAATACTCTAACCTCAATGAAGTGCGTATTTTGGCTACATTTTAAAATTGATCTGTTCTTTAAGCCATATCATATTAAATGAAGTTTTATCATCTTTCCTAGTGTGTACAAGTTACAGAGAAAATTAAATGAATTTTCACTGTCAAACTGACTATAATAAAAACATATTGGGTCATCTTAAGATTTGTGGCATATGCTTAAATAAATATTGAAGACACTGATTAAGCAGTGAAGTCTTTTTATATTTATGTTTAAAGGAAATTTTTAAAGAAATGTTTCAAAGTGTTGGGTGACTTCTTTTCAGGTTTGTGCTTATTAAATGCTTTTGAAACAAAGCTGTATGCCCAAACTCTTGCTTGTAACTCAGACATACATACTTTGTCCCACTTTGCCCAAATTCTTAATCGACACTTCAAAGAACTCTTTACCTTTCCCTGCTTTTTAACTTATCCACACTCTCTTGCCTTCTCAAAGCGTATACAGCTCCCAGTTTTTCCATAAAATATGCAACAACTGGAATTTCATAATTGCTTCTTCTTTGTTTTGTACCATTTGTTTTGTCTCCCCTCTCCCTGCCCCATTGGAGTTTTGGTGCTACTGCAGAATTTATTTGTGTCAGAACTCCTTCGCTGTTGTCTCTGTCTACTTAATCAAACTCATCTACTAACAGTATTTCATATGTTATTCTGAACCATCTGCTTATTGCTTACGTTCTCTATCAAGATCTTTCATCTCCTTTGCCAGCACATCATTTACATTAACATTTAGAGAAATTTATTTTTCTTCAGTTCCCCAGTATCTGCTTCTGTTTGACTTGTGAGGAAATTTGTCAAACTCTTTTTTTGATCTTCTAAATGTTATTCTAATAAAGAAATGTTTTTCTTTTTTTATTGTTTAGTTAGTTACTATTATTGTATCTTCTCTCTTACTTTTAGTCTTATCTTGGTTAATGTAGACTTTTGTTCTAACGAAATACTAATTTCAGTCTAGTATAAATAATTTTGCTGAAGAAGCCTGAAACAGGAAAAAAACTTAATAGAAGTAATGTTCTGATTTTCTTTGATTTCTATTTTGTTGCTTTTAAAAAGAAAATGGTACTATTTGTATGATTAGACAGTTTGACTGAAGTTGATTGTCTTGAGACTGAACCATGTTTAATCCCCCAATTAATTATAGAGTAATGTAAGTTTTTTAATAGGCTGTGTGAAAGTTACTTAGGAATTACACAAACCAAATTAATGAAACACTGTCCCTTTTTTAAACCATTAAATATATATTGCTGTGTCCTTTGGGGAACACATAATTCAAAACAAATTATTTACAAATTGATTAATCGTTAATAAAAAGTTCATAATAACTTCACAGATAATACATCAACATTTTAGATGCAGGCACAGTTTGAGTTATTTAAGCCTCTACTGCAAAAAACAAGTGGGTGGATTTCAGAGAAAATTACATTAATCTTGTTTTCATTATTTCTGTTTTATCAAAAGCCTCAGCACTCTAGTTTTTTGTGTGGTTTGATTTTTAGACTGAATCTGGCTATGGATCAGAGTCAAGTTTGCGACGTCATGGCTCCATGGTGTCTCTTGTCTCTGGAGCAAGTGGATACTCTGCAACATCCACCTCTTCATTCAAGGTTGGTGCAAAAAGTTTTCCTAATATTCGTGTGTAAATAACGTGCAACTGGAGAAGTAATGTATGAAGACTTATAATTATAGAAGAGACACGAAATGTTTAGTTTAAATGTCAGTAGTCCATCATACAGATGATACAGGGATCTCTCTCATGCTGCTCCTGCAATCGTCCCTTTTAAATTGTGGTGTCATCTTCTGTGGCAAGAAAATCAAACTTGTGGCTGTGTTCATTAACTTTTTCTAGTTTACTCACCGGAATATCTGGTTTTCATTTTCCAAATGAAAGCAAACACTAATTCTGTAGCTTAGTATGTGTGATATAGCCCTGCCTGACAAGTTATGGCTTTCCTTGTGTTACGTGTATAAATATTTAATATATGAGCTGAATGTGCTGTACTTCTGGGAGAGCAGAAGAGGAACAACACAAGAAAGATCTTAAACTGGAGCTGACTGCTTTCAGACAAATATGTATAAAGCCGGTAGCGTGCAAGTTCACATTTTTAGTAAGTTTTTGTGGAGTGCTCTGAAGTTGCAGTTGCAGTCAAGAGAAAACATTGAGACCAGTGACAAAATAGTATGGAATACTTGATTATGTTTTCTTTTGACCTAACAGTATTTCATAATTGCTGATATCTAAAATGCCCTTGGTACTTCAATTTCTTTTTCATAGCTGCAGAAATATATTTTTTTAAGTTAAATTGTAGCTATACGGCATCAAGCTATTGTTGAGTGTGTAGAAACATTTCAGGCTTTTTTTATTTGTGTTTTCAGAAGGGCCATAGCTTACGTGAGAAGCTTGCAGAAATGGAAACCTTTAGAGACATCTTGTGCAGACAAGTTGATACTTTACAGAAATACTTTGATGCTTGTGCGGATGCAGTTTCCAAAGATGAACTCCAGAGGGATAAAGGTAACACTATAGCTGGAAACTCTTCCCTCCCCCAAACATCTTGATAGTGTTACAATACAATTTAATGTCTTTTAAATGAAATATGTATCCTACATTTAGTTTAGTAAAGCAGCAGTCATTTGCATAAATGCATAAACATGTTAATTATTTTTACTTTGGAATTCAGATTTGCTTAAAAATCTGCTTGATGTTAGCCTGTAGCTGTCAACTGTACAAAAGCAATGCTCTTAAGTGTTTTGTTACAGAATACCAATTGCTAACTGTCACGAAATAGATTTATTGCTGTCTCATACCTGTTATTTTGAAAAACTAATGGGATATTAGTTTTGATAGAAACAATACAGTTTTTAAAAGGTATAAAGTGCTGCCTTAAGTAATGTTTCTGAGGTATATTGGCTGGAAATAGAACACTGAATGCACACTTGAGACCATACTAGACTATGATATGGGTGTCTGCATATCTCTGAATTGCTTATACCAGAGCACAGCTTGTCACTGTATCTGCACACTCTACTGAGGCATCCCTGTGTTTGTTCTGGCAGTGTGAAACTTTCTGCAGCAATAAAACACCAGAGAAGTGCAATTCCACTTTTTTTTTTAAACTTTCCAGTGTAGATGATTAGATAAGTACTGAATCACGGCTCCTGCTTATCCACTTGTAACACAAAGTATGTTGCTCTCACCAGAGAACTGAATGCTGAGCTTCAATGCTGAGCAATGTTAGATTCTGCTGTTAACTGACATTTATGCTGGTAGTGGTCTTGGGTCAAAAAAATAATAAAATAAACCAAACCCAAAAGGGAGGGAGAAGTCATGACTGTTGTTACAGGAAGAAATGGTGGCTAACCATGAAGATGGTCTTAATTCTTTCTTGCACACCAAAGAACTAGAAAAGCTTTCTCACTCCCATAATAACACTCTATCTCAAATCTAGTGGTAGAAGATGATGAAGATGATTTCCCTACAGTACGTCCTGATGGAGATTTTGTACATAACAGTAACAGCAGTAAGGAGAAACGTAAGTGTGTCCCAATTTTTTCACTGGTGAAAATTAGAATGAATGGTATGGTGTTATGTCTGCTACAAGACAGGTGTATTATGCTCTTTTCTAAGCAGAAAATTGCAAGAATAGCTATTTAAGTGTATGTGAATGGAAGTTCTTAGTCACGTTATAATTCTTTACAACTTCTAGTGATTCTCTGAGTTATTCTTAATTCACACAAATAGTAATGCAAGTTTGTCAAGCTGGAATTTCCTGTTCTGTGTCTAAAGTTGTTGCTACAAAATTCTGTTGAAACAGCTGCATTATTCAAATATTGGGAACTGAGATTTTGTAACAGGTTATTGCAAGTGTTACCTGCTTTAGGAGTTCGGTGGAGTTCAATGTTTTTCCACTTAGGGATGTCCCCCTGTGGTTTTTACAAGTATTATGGCTGTGGAATGGTTAAGACAACACTGTTACTGATTCTCATTTATCATAATTTTAGAGCTTTTGTGCTGTCCTTTTCATTGTTATAATGATCAGAATTCTGATTTTTATTTTTATAATAAATGAATTAGTTATTTTACTCACTGTATCCATGCAGCAAATGTGAAGAACTCATGCAAGTCTTGCTGGTCAAGAAGTCTGATAGTTCTGGCTTGGAGGAAGTTGTGTATGCTTTTAAACTGTATTTGCATTTTTCTTAGACCTTCTCATGTTTTCTGACTGAAATATTCTAGTGTTTACACTCTCTACTTGTTGGCAATTCAGTTAGTCCTAAGGTATTTCTTAGACTTGATTCACAAAGCTTGGAAATTGCACCTCCAGTTTCAAGTGTGATGGAATCTCCCAAAGTACTCACCAGAAATGTTTTTTAAAATGTAAATACTTTCATGACAAACCTAGAAAATATAGGGCAAAATAAGCCTTTTCTGTGTCTTCCGTTTTCTTTTTAATTGGCTGTTATTCCCATGTATTGCATATTTCCTTCTTGTATTTAAGTGCTTTTTCTAAAGCATATCCAAAACTGTTGTGATGGAAGAGGAAGGGAAATGGAATGGAAGGAGCTTTTCAGATTACTTCCAGAATTCATCACATGAGTAGATTTTTCTATGGAGTATTAATTGTAATGCTGATTTCAGAGACTATGTAGCATAACACAGAAGTTTTGAAGCAAGTGTAAGCAGGTGTATGGTTCCACTAACCCTGTTGTCTGTATTTTTTTTTTTGAAGAACTGTTAAGTTAGATTTCAGAAAACTGAAAAAGCCTTCTTTAACAAATGCTGAGAGTTTAATTTTACTGCATGATTCATTTTGGAGGAGATGCCTTTGTCAAACTCAATTTTTATACAATCATGTAGGAGTTTCAGCTTAATTTTGTGGTAGAAATTTTTTTCATAGCTACATTGTTCTAGCACATCTGCAATATATATGCATATACTATGGGGAATGTCATTAGGAAAGTCCATATTTTTAATGGAGCTGGTCATCAAGCTTTTGGGAACTTACATGCTAAGAAATTGATACTGGGTGTTATGGATACCTGTATAAATTCACTCACTATAGCTCACTACAGAAAATAATTCTGCAACCCCCTGCGTTTTGCAGAACTTCTAATTCCAGTTGAGTCCTGTATTCCATTGAATTTACTTTCCATCAATTATTTATATGAAAGTATTTTTCCCCATTTCAGTTTTTCTATGCCTCAGTCTGATTTCTAGTGGTTAAATTAATTAAATATTTAGTAGCTGAGTGCTGCAAAGCTTGCTTGGAAATGAATAATTAGAGTCTCTGTCTTAAAGTGGAATTAAAAGTGATACAGTGGGGAAAGTAGATGTCTCAGATTGAGACAGACATGCTCATGTATTGGGCAGAAAAAAAAGGTCAGACTGAACTTCAATGAAAGATTTATCTTGACCTTTGCCCTTTTTAAAGCTTAGCCTCAGAGCAGCTGTTAAAATTTGCTTTCTCAAATTTCAGGTTCTCGAAATTTCTATCTCGTCCTGGAAGGACTCTAACAATCTTCTTAACTGTAGCTTTCAAGTGGTTGCCTTTATATTCTGAAATGGTTCTCTATTCAGTGGTTCAGGAAGTGAGGCATAGGTTCAGCCTCTTAATTTAGCTTACTATGATATGATGGAGTGTTTTAGCCTACTGTTCAAACTACTAGTGCAGCAATCTAAAGCTCACATTATTAGATTTAAGACTGACTTGAGTAAAAAAAAGACTTAAAATAAAAAAAATTACTTTTGCAATTTGTTGTCTGGGTGGGAGGAGAAAGTTAATGTAAGTATGGACTTTTGTGTACTGCTCTGAAGGTGATTTGGATAGGGATGTTTTCTCTTTTCTGTGTTCTATAGGATCTTTAGGTGAAGAGGTAGGTAGAGTACAATGAAGTTGTTTAAATGTATTGGCCACTTTCCAGTTACAAGATCTGGTAATTGGAACTGTAATAATTTATATAAAACACCAAGGTATGGTGTCTGGCTGATGCATATTTGCCCATTGGGATTTTATATTCAGAGTAGAGTCTTGATCTCTAAGTGTTCCCATTCATCCCCTCAGGAAAGAGAACATATTTAGATTTAAATTTTCTAAGAATAGAAAGAGCAGGAGTAACCTACTTAAGGAACCACCTTGAATGTGGAAGATGTCTTTTGTACTGGAACTATATAGATGGAAATGGTGCAAAGGCTGAAGGAGAGAAATAGCATGTAAATTACAGCAGACATTTATGCTGGATTTTTGTGCTTTGAATGGAGGAAAAATATTTGCCAAAATATTGCTGAAAAACTGGGGTTGTTAGAGGAAAACTAATCATACTTATCCTATTGCAATCCACAGAAGATAACAACAGTAGACATCAAGAAATGGATCGCGGACACAAATGTTTGTTTTTCACTTAGAATTGCATTAGTGGCGTAATATGTTAAGGGAGCATAAAATGGAAAAAAAATGGAAGAACATCATTCAACTTACTCTCTTTAGAATACTTTCCTGTTTCTGTGGAAAAAAGATTTGATCAAACAGTGGGAAGATGTTACCAGCAGAATCTTGGGAACAAGAAGGGAAACAGCTATTCTAACAGACACAGAGGTCTAGGAGAGAAAAGCTAAAGAGCGATTGAAAGTTAAAGAAAGGTATGAAGAATTCCTTGTATGAAACAAAAGAGAAAGCAAGTCAGAAATAGAGTGTAGATGGGATAGTAAAAAATTAACTGCTTGGAAGATGTTGAAATTGAAGTTAGGGTGGGAGACAAAATTACCCTGTTTCTTTCAGTTGACAGCATGCAGTTTGATAACCAAAGAGCAGTTGCAACAGTAAGAATCCTTTCCTATTAGTCTTTACCTTTAAACATAGATCACCAGATGCTGATTTAATTTTGAAATAGTCGATTTGTAGCTGACATGAAAAAAAGTGTGGAAAAGGAATCAGAAGTTTGGTCTCTCCAAATAGAAAATCTTCTCACAAGTACTTGTAAAACGCTGAGCTCAGTTGTTCCTGAGGTAAGGGTTGAGGTCATCTCCCAGCATGCTTCAGAAAGACAGATATTTCCTGTGATTAGGAATGAATCAAAATACTTGTATCCATCCTAAGGAACCTGTTGAGTGACCATCTTTTTATAGAAATAGGTTTTACATCCTTCTGCAAGATGTTAATTTTTGCCCATAATTGTAATTACTGAAAAACTTGGGGCACTGACTTTAAGTCTGCAGCTCTGCATCTATCACACCTACTCTGAGACTAGTCATTAAAGAATGGCATAGAACTGTATGGAATTATTAATGAAATGTGGCTGAGACGTAGAAAGGGACAAAAGTTCTCTCTTTTCCAGAAAATTAAACTGTGTTGCTGTATTTCCCTTAAATTCTACTGCAGAGATTTCTGAAATTATTTGTGTAGTGTTGCAGCTAGTGGCAGTTTCTTCAGCATGTCTACATATTTCCTAAGTGAGAGAGAAAAATCACATCTGCAAGCATTATAGCTGTGCTGTTAAGCCTGCATGTGAACATAGCCTACACCAGCAGGAGGAATTATTAGTATGAAATCATCTTTTTCAGTTGTCAAGTATTAGCAGCAAAGTTCTTGTATAATTTTAATTGTTTTCAGTGGAGACACTGCATCACCTCCTTGGCATCTTATGCCACTGTCAGTCTCAGTCCCTTCTGTGTTCCCTCTGCAGCTGTTGGGGAGGAAGAGCTGCTCTGCTCATTACCATTTCTGAAACAGTTTCTTCGTTCTCTTGCTTTTTTTTTCCCTCCAGCCCCCATCATTTTTACCTTTTAGGGAATGTTCCTGATTAACATTAAAAAAAAAAAAAAAAAAAAAAAAAAAAAAAAAAAAAAGTATTTTCCCCCA